AACTCGAAAGGCATAATCAAGGTTTTCCTCATCGGGAAAGATAATCAAAATAAACTCAATAAATATAACTCAACTCAAAGACCCCCAACCTGATGTTACACTATCAGAGAAAGACCTTCTAAGTTGACCAAAGGCCAACAACTCAAAACTTCAAAAATACTTCTCGACGGCGTCCACGGCTAAACATGGTCATCTGCATGTTACCCACGTGGAGGTAACATTCAAACAGGCAGGGCGAGTAAAACAACTCATAATAATCAATGTATAAAAATCAACATATAAACGGCGTCATATTCATATTCAACACATTCAAATCCTTCAATAGGCCTCGAAGGCCACAACATCATAATTTATATAAAAAGACTCATAAATGCAAATGCAACAAGACTCAATGCATGTGGTACCAATCATTACAGCGCGATGGACACTGAGCCATCAACCCTCCATAGATCCCCATCAATAGGATCGATTCTACTAGAGAACCAGAGCACATCAAAATACTTCACATCTGCACAGTGGGATTGAAGCCAAAGTAATCGAGGTCCTGAACCGAAGTCCGGATGCACATGAATGCATGATGCACACGTCACAAATTATCCTCATAATAACATCATAGGTGCATCATCATTCATCATATTCATCATCATCAAACGTCATAGCTCATCATATTCATCATCATCAAACGTCGTAGCTCATCATCATAATCATCATTATACGTCATGTCATCATAACTCATCATAATAACCATCATCATACATCATGTAATCATAATTCATCATAATAATCATCCTCATACATCATATAAAATCGTCATATAATTATTTACAAATCACGTAGCGCTCACAGTCATACTCATATTAATTCATCATATTATCACATATTATCACCTATTAATTCATAATTATACTCGCGGTAGTCCTCATATCATCGTCTATTAATCACATAAACTTCACAGTCCTATTCATGTTAATTCATCATATTATCACATATTATCACAATTACCCTCATGGTAACTCATTAGGAAAATCGCAACATCAAAACATCAAGACATCACTGAACCAGAACATGATTCGTTAATAGAACATATACACAACTGACTTATCAAACATAATTAGATATAAAAATATTGGGAAACCAATTCCCTTATCTATACTATGTTATAGATTTGTTCATTAGCTTTCCAACGCTTCGAACGGGGGCCAAAACGGGACTTACGGATCAAAAGTTACGTCCAAAATGATTTTGACCGAAAACATGAACAGTCGTGACAGACAGAAAAACACGGTTACGCTCCGAAACCTAAATCAACCCAAAAGTCCACACGATTCACTTCCCCAATGCCCCCAAAACATCTCTAAATCATCCCTAAGGTCTTACGGTGATAAAGGCACAAAACCTACGGTTTACTAGGCCAATCCCGTAACATATTCATGCCCTAAATCACAATTTTTCCTTCAATTACACCCTAAGGCATCTGAGTTACTCACTATCAAATATTCCTATCCCTTCAGGGTCAGACATATAACAATTCGAGGTTTTGGCCACGAAGCCCTATGGTTTCCCTTTCTCATATTATGCTCTAACTGTCAGGAATACTTACCACTACACCACAACATCAGGGTTCCCAAAACCAGATTTAGGCCACGAAGGCCAAATCCCTTTTTCTCATATCCTTCTAATCTTCCTCAATCCAAATAAATCCCCACGGTCAAAATCTCAATACTAGATTTAGGCCACGAAGGCCAAAATCTCTTTTTCCCATAATTCTCCATAAAACCCTTAAATAAACCATAATCACATCGAAATCTACACATAGAAAATTATGAAAAGCTATACTCCCCGCCTTCACGAATCTGTCAGGGAATCTTTCAACGCTTCCGCCTCCAATTTCCTCTTCAGAGCTCTCTGGCCTCAATTCTTCACGATTAACACAAAATGAATCCTAAAACCCTTCAGAACTCCCTTTTTGTTAAACCTAGACTTGGGCCAAATAATTGGGCTTTTCCCATAATGCCCTAACTTACTCCTCTCAATTGTCCCAATTACCCTTCTTTCACTATTATTTATTTTAACTCATAATAATATTAATAAATTAATATTATATACTATCAATTAAATAAATAACCCAAAAATTGCATTAATTCTTAATATTCCACAAAACACAAAAAATCATCGAAAACATCCAAAATACGAATATTCTCAATTAAATAAATTAATTAAAATATTTCGATTAAATTTGGGGTGTTACAGGTAGCGACTCTGTTAAGCCCATCTCGCGAGCGTGCGACTGCGCTTCGCAAACGTCGTGTTCTTATTTTTCGAGGTACGACACATCCTTAGCGTTTCGAGTGAATACTCACAACTTGCACCTGAGTTTGAAAGATTTATTGTAGGCCCTAAAGATTAGCATGAATATAATCAATAGATTTATGTGTTCTTTGTTTACCTTTGTTAAATTTCACCCTACAAGATTTATCAAATACACAAAGTTCACAAAACTCTAATTTTTCGACATTGTTACACATAACAGATTTTATTTTGACAATTTCACCACACCTTTTTCATTAACATGGTCAAGTCTCTTGTGTCATAGCTCAGTCTTTGACATAGGTTTTGTGAATGCCACGTCTGTTGAACCATTTACAACCTCAGCCTCAAGGGTATACATACCTTGCCTCTTGATGTCTCTCAAGACTTCTTTCGGCCCCTTCATTACCCTTAGGATATTTTTCTCTTCTTTGAAAACATATCGCTCTTTTGTTGAATTTACCGAGAGAAATCAAATTCCTCTTAAGTTCAGGTACGCACCTGATATCAGTCAATAGCCTTAGTGACTCACCATGGAGCTTGAATCTGATAGATCTAATTCCTGCAATTTTGCAGGCTTTGTTGTTTCTAAACAACACTGATTCACCATCTTGATCACATAATTTCTCAAACATGTCCTTGTTTGGATTTATGTTCCAAGTACAATCTGAATCCATAATCCACTCCTTGCTAGAGTCGCTGATTGAAACCACTAGGGCATCAGATGATTCATAACCATCTTGCACAATAAATGCATTACCATTATCCTTCCATCATGATTATTCAGACGTTCATAGACATCTTTCTTGTATGACCCTCCTTCTTACAATAATAAAACACAATTGCAGGAACACCACCACCATGAGAATTCTATAGAACTTTACCATCCTTCTTCTCAAATTTACCATCATTCTTCAAGAATTTTCCTTTTACGTACAATCCTTCATCAACAGATGATGAGTTTTACTCGTTCCTTTCATTCAAATCCTTCAAGTACAAAGCTGATTGAACTTTTTCAAAGCTTTCCTTGAAGTGGCACGACATCTTAACAAAGCACATAACAATAACACTTAATCCTCATCATCAATCTTGACCTCGATATTTTCAAGATCATGAATCAACTTGTTAAGCATATCCAGCAGCTCAACCAAGACTTTGTCTTCACTCATCTTGAATGAATACAAAGCTTATTTCAGGTATAAACGATTGACCAAGGATTTTTTCATATACAAACCCGCGAGTTTGCTCCATACACCAGATGTCGTCTTCTCATTCGAGACATGTCGGACAACCTTATCACCATGGCTCAATATGATTGCACTATGGAATTTCTCGATCATTGCCGTCTTCTCCTTCTTCTTTAGGGAAACATCCATCTTCTCAAATCCTTTCAACGTTTCTAACAAACTCTGATCAACTAGTAGGGCTTGCATCTTCAAATGCCACAAATCAAAATTATTCACACCGATGAATTTCTCAATCTCATACTTTGTTAACGACATATTTTCCTCCACGCTCACCGCACCAATTTGTTGTGAAGATGATGCCCAGAAAATAGAGTATGATCGGTTTCTTGATTAAAAAGAAAACCACAAAGTGAAAGAAAATAGAGAAGAGATGGCAATTCAAAGTGGTTAAAAACTCTGACTTCTTGATTCAATTATACATTAATGTTAAGTATAACAAGTGTGAGTAGTATGATAATAGTTTCACATAGGATAAGAATGTGGTGACTGGAGCATTTATAAGTGGGAGAACCCATACACATATCACCTTAAAGTTTTTGGTGAGTATGTGGCGTGTCTCTCACAAAGGTGTTGCTCTAGAAAGGTAGTCCCACAATGTTCAATACTCCCTAGTGAAAATCTCCTCCAACAATTAAGGAACAATGTTTACAATTGAATCTCAACCATACCATTTTCTTCCTCTGATTGGGATTATCAGGGATTGAATGAGAAATGGTGACTAATATGTTATTTATAAAAAAATTAAACCTTAACTTTTAACTACCATACTAAACAATCAACTCAATAAACTAATCCAATTAGACATGCTAATAACCTAACATATTTCAACAACCTGACTAACTTTTTGACTTTGACGAAATTTACTAAAACACTAATTTATAACTCATAAACTACCTAAAGAAATTAATATCCAGAGTATCTTACCAACATTAGTGTCAATCACTATGGCTGTTGTTTTTGGTTGGACATATATTTGCCTATGACTAGGATCTTCTTGTTAAACAAGTTTGGAATGTCAAGATTAAAATTGTTCCTTTTTTAGATAGGCTTGACATAATCCTCCCCCTTTCTTCATTATCTCCTTCTTTTGTTGATTTCTTTGGTTTAAAAAAATGAAGATATATACTCTGTATTTAAAAATATAAAAAAAAAAAGCATATATGTTTTTGACTTGTATTTAAACTTAAACATAAACAACTAAAATTTATTTATGTTATATTTTGTATAAATATTGACAACTCATTTAAATAAATTACGGATTCTAATACAACTCGTTTTTTCATTTATAATTTTTAATATATATAATTTTTCCATGAATATCATAATACAATAATTTTATATGCCTAGTCGTGTGGATAAAAAGTGACGACAAAATAATATCTCATTCTTTTTCCCTCAACGTTACTTCATCATCATCACCACTAACTTTAACAAAATATCCTTTCAATGGTCTCTTCTCTGTATCCAACCCCTTCATCTCTTGCCACTAACATTTTTTCTCTTCAAACTTCTAAATCTTTACGTCTCGCCATACAAACTCATACAAATCCAAAACATTCCAGTGTCAATTATGTCTTCCAACTCCCTTCCACCAATAAATATTGCCTTATCACCACAAAGGTACTTTTCAACTTCAACAATATAAAATATTTAGCTACTATTTATATTTGTATTATTAGCCAAAGTATTAACAAAACAAGGTTTTATTTATTTATGTATGTAGGCTACTAATGGCAATGGTGTTGGTGGTAACCAACAGAATACAAAGCCTAATAGTGTGATTTGTGCTGATTGTGATGGAGATGGTACTATTAACATGCACTTAAGTAATTAATCAATTTTTCGATTTAATTGTTAATATTGTGTGAATTAATTAATTAATTAATTAACAGGAGCTGTTGTATGCTCTCAATGCAAAGGTGATGGAGTGAACTCTGTTGATTTTTTCAATGGACTCTTCAAAGCTGGTGCCTCCTGCTGGCTTTGTGGGTACGCTACCTAATAACCAAATCATTCTATTTTATCTGAAACCGAGGCTTAATCTTATACACAATGTGCCTTGTAATAATCCCTTTTTTTAAATTTAAATTTCAGAGGAAGAAAGGAAATTTTATGTGGGAGCTGCAATGGTGCTGGTTTTATTGGTGGCTTCTTGAGCACTTATGATCAGTAACAAGATACAGATTCGACAATTTCCAACACAGTTCAGTATATATATTATGCATGTAAATTCTTGCTTTTCTAATGTATTGCTTTTTTATTTCAATTCATATATCAAATATGATTATGAATCAAGTATTATACTAGTATTACACATATAGAATGACAGAACAACAGTAACTTATGCTAATAGTAATTTCTCTTTTTAAGACTTGCTTCCGATGATTTTGAGTAAGACGCGTAGCTTCGGATTCGTGTGCTACCTTTTCCTTTTGTTTCCACAAACTTTACCTGATCTTTTAGTTTCTATTTCTTGCTTCTGTAAAAACTCCGCATACATGAGCTGCAAAAAATTATGCATACATAAGTTGTTTCTATAAACTATCTCAGACAGTTTTACATGTTTATGTCAGTAATGCTTACCATTGAGCTTCTACCCCGAATTTCTTCTAAGGTACGCAACGCTGATAAAGTTAGTTTGATGAACAAATTCTCCATATTTTCAATTTCAGCGAGCTCGTTAGGAGCCTGCATAAGTTTCTCTTTATTTTCATCCTCAGTCACATTCGAGCCACATCCGTCTTCGTCTTCACCTTCCTCAGTTTCCTCACTAGTTGATGAACATGGAAAAGTCGGCTCATCGTTATTGGCGAAAAGAATGTTTAATATCATCTCACACTCCTTCACAAGACTATTGAGCACGTCAGTTTCGAAAAAGGGCTGGTTTAACACCTCTTGAATAAAAGGCAGGCGAAGGAGAGCGCCGGTTCGTTTATCGTGTTTCTTTATTATCTTCACTAGACCTGCATAATCATTTTATCATATAGAATCTGATAAATTTCTCTTTCAAATGAATTAAAAAAACACACAAGTTTATATTATTCATACATATATGAGATCATAGATTAGAATTTAAAACATGCCTGTGTAATTAAGTGCACTATAGTTCTCTAGCAAAATCATCTCTCCATGAAAATCCACTATTTCCCTCCCTAATGACATCAACTCCGCATCTGAATAATCCATGGCTCTATCAACTCTGTCTTGCAACAACTGCAAAAAGAAAATGGCAAAACATACAACAGATGTCAGGGCCGGTCCAACACATATTGAGATCTAAGACAAATTTGAAAATAAAGGCTAACTAAGTTATATTACCTTCCATTTGATGATGTATTCTTCTTCCATGTTAACAAAGAAAGTGTTGAACTTATCAATCTCAACTTCTAATAGACAAAGGAAGTGGTGGACCTGGCAAGCATCCAATTTCGGAGGGGTGCGAGCATCTTTAGGACACATAATCTTCAACTGTTTCTTCAAGTTTTTGTAGGACAAAAACTTGTCGCGCCACTCGGGGAGGGTCTGTTCAATCTGTCTCTTCAAGATCTTCCAGAACTTCATGGCAAGGTTAGGGATCTGTTCCAAACTTTTTGAACAAGGTAGTGAGTGATCAAAGGGAGTGTTCAAATGGAGATGAGTGAAGTGTATTTAAACTGAATGAATTAGGACCTAATAAGGCTATGTGTTCATCATGCATTGGTTTTCACGGTTTTTTCTATATAATAATATAGGGTATATAACAGTATAATTCTATTATTTTGTTACTTTTATTGTCTTGTTAGATTTAGAATATTCCATGGTGCTTGGATAATTCCATGGTCATAGAATGGACCGTGGTGGATAATAATATGCCATGGTTATTCATTTATCATTGCAATTGTCGAGGAGCTATATTTGGACTCACATTACCTAAAATAGAATCAGAATTTGAAAAATCTTGAATGAGTAAAATATGCAATTCAGAGATATATTTGTTACTTTTAATAGTGTCAATTCAGTTTTGTAGTTTGTGATACCGGCTTGAGAAAGAACAAGTCAAAGATATATTTGTTGAACAAATAACACTAAACACAAGTGAATTGTGATACTCAAAATTTATAATAAATTTGAAAACAGATTACTTTAAAAACAATTTAGGTATGTTCAGAGATAAAACATAAGAAAATATAAAGGAAGGAGATTGAGAGAAAGAAAAAAATAGAGATAGAGATAGGAAAGTTGCACATAAATTTATCTCCGTTCGATTTAATTATTTAATCTATTCTTGTCTCTCAAAGCAATTTGAGCTTTTGATGGTTGAGTAGGCCGACCCAACACGAGGCATGAGGCGGAATTTAAAACTATACATTTTTAATATAATAAAAATATTTTTTTAAAATTATTATATTTTAGTTATTTTATGATATAAAATCAAATTATTATAATCAATTTCATTTAGTATTTTATTTCAATTGATAATAAAATTAACTCTTTTAAACACTTTTTTTATTATTTAAAAAATCATAATTGAAAAATAATGGCCAAATTATTAAAAAACTTAGATATCAAGTCTTCTATTATGTTAAAGAAGTCAAAAATTTATCATTTATACATATAATTTCTAAATTAACAAATCAAATAATTCATATTATAATAATATTAATGATTATTATTATTATATATTCTAAGTAAATGTTATATAATATAATTAAAAAAATTACATTAAAAAAATTAACTAGTTAAAATCATATAAAATAAAATAAAAAGTGAGGCTCTAGGCAAGTAAAATAAAATACTGAAAGTAAATTGTCGAAAATAAAAGAGAATAAATGGTTAGAGAGATTGCACCAAAGAGTTATCTAGGTTTTCCTGAATGTTGACTTAGTCCTGTCTATAAGAGTTCTTGAGATTTTAACTATAACTTTGAGCTTTTATAGGTTATGCCCTCGAACTTTTAATACAATATAATCTTGAGATTTTAATAGGCTTATCCTCAACCAAATGACATGTTATAATCTAGACTAAGCTATCAAATTGTTTAGAGATTTATGGATGATCTCAATAACTAAAACAAAGTTTTTTTCCAATAAACTTAATAAACCAAGAACAAAGATTTAATAAAGGTTGATCTCAAGAATCAAACTCAATCTAATTAAGATATCTCACCCTTAAAAATATAAACGACCAACATGATAACTTACAAAAATATCTTCCTCACAAGTAAAGCTTCGCTTACTAACAAAAAGACAATTTGAAGTGAACTTTTTTTTCTTAAGAGAGGGAGAAAGATAAATTCTAAATAAATATAAAAACGTTGGAAATTGATGGGGTTTGAAGTGATGAATATCCGTTGGAGACATAAAAAATATAAATGATCCATGGACCGAAATGAATTTTCAATCGATTGGCAAAATGCTCTAATCAATTAGACAACTCAAATACAATTGATTTAAGACCTAAAAAGGAAAGTTTGGAAATATATCTGTTACAAGAATTTAGTGTGTTGTACTTATTAATTTTATAATCGATTGTCATATTTCTAATCAGTTTTCATAGTGTCTCAATCAATTGGATGGTTATAAAATTTTTGTCAATCGACTGACACATCTTTCTAATCGATTAGAAGTTTTAAAAAATTTTTTAATAGTTTTTTTAATCACTTGATTTTTGTTTAGAAAAACTTTTTTAAGTGTGTGTGATTTGTCTTAGTACTTTTAAGCTACTATATTACTTTTACAATACTCGGTCCACTCAGACAGACATATTGACAACACTAACAAACTTTCACACTTCTCTTCACGGAACTTCAAAATTTTACTAGATAGTTTATAATTGTATAGGCTGGGATTATGCCATTCTGCTAATGAGTTGTATTCTGCTAATGAGTTGTATGGTGCTTATTATCAAGGTTAAAAGCTATTTAAATAATTTAAAAGTATATCATAATATATAAAAATTGAATGAGTCCTATTTAAAAAATCAAGTGGATATGATAGATGTGAGTGCTCCAAATAAGATATACTAAATTTTAGAATTTTAATATAAGAATTAAAATTTATTAAAACTATCAACTCAATTCAACTATAACAAATCCTTAAGTTTTTCACCAATTTTATATGAATTTTCTGAAAAAATATTATAAAAGCTAAATCAAATCAATTATATTTTATTGGTATAAATGAATTTCTTATTTATTTATTTACCTTTGTTTTGAAATGTCATAATTATAGTAGTTGTTCAAATCATATGATTGAATAAATATTTTTTTGATTATTAAAATTTTACAACACAATTTACTTTAACATTAAATAAGTTGTTTGTTAAAGGCAATATAATATTGTCTAATTCTTCTATATTCAATGTCTTTAAAATTTTAAAATAAAAATAGAAAAATTCTCTATTAAAATTTTTTTTCCAAAAATATCATGAGTATACAAAAATTCATACATGTAATCTTTGATGAACTAACCCCCGAGTCAGTAGAGATAAAAATGTTTGATTGTGGACATATTATAAAGAACACTCTTATAGAAGATAAATATAGAATTAAAGAGAAAGATAAAGAACAACCTTAATAGTAGCTCACATCTTCGCTAAAGCCTTGTTGTCCCCGATATTGCTAGCTATTGTGGGGCCTCAACGTGTCGTCATGGTGAGAGACATGATTGAGGCGATGGAGTTTTAAGTAAAGGCGCATGGCCTAGGTCAGTTTTGTTGAGGTTCCACAGTGGGCGTCTATTGTACTTACAAAAAATAAAATAAGGATTACCTTGCTCGCCTGACGAATGCAAGAGGATTTTTAGATATCTAGATTGTAAATGAATTCTCCTAACTATAAGGGTTGGGATCTTTATAGGGCTAACTCATTAGCCAAAATGTTTAGTTCAAAATTGATTTTATCCTAACTACTTGACTAAAGTGTGGGAATAGGAAGACTAGTTATCCTCATTAGTAGGAAAAAGCGGTTTCTTCCTCGGAAAAATTGTAAATACCTGTATTTTCATAAACACGTGGTATGACATGTATTAATACAATTGTCATTCGATGGCCACAAGTTTAGTTTGGGAAACCTATACCCTATATGTGATGGGTAAAATTGAGTGATCCATTAACTTCCAAAACAAACTCGTTTAATTTGGGGAATTTCTTAATGCACCCTATATATAACTAAGACACCATATGAAAATACAAAAATGCCCCCAGTTTTCGGAGATGCGTCTCTTGACGCACCTTGAGTACATAGAATTATGAATTAACATTAAAAACCCCGAAGATACATCTTCAAACTGATTTCGAAGATACATCTTCAAATTGATTTCGAAGATGCATCTCCCGACGGTATTGGAGCTTAAGTCGTGCTAGAACCTTTCTTCGTTCTCATTTCTAAAAAAACATAAAATTTTCTTAAACTCGCTCAGCATTTTTTTTCCATCAACCAAGTCCAAAATCAAACGAACAAGCTCATAGGTTCTTCAATCAAGATCAAGTACATCAGAGACATCATCCAACACTGAGGTAAACTCTAAATTTGTAAGTTTTTGATGTTTTGAAAAGTTTTTTGAGTTTGTGTAAATGAGTAGAAATTGATGATTTAGGTAAAAAAAATGAATATAAATTGCACAAATGATAATTTATACATACTGTAAAACATGTTTGTTGGTTGAAAATAACGACCAAACTATTATTTTTGGGGCTTATATGTCTGCATTTTCGCCATTGAAGGACCTAAAAAGTTGCAGAAAATTCCAGAGATACATCTCTAGAATTTCTCAATGTTTGGATTCACATTACCGGAAGATGCATCTCCATAAATTATCAACCTATTTTATTTTATTTTGCTTTTATTGATTGTATGGTTGCTTGTAAGGGTGTTCGAGGTGCGATTTGCGCGATTTTGACGCTAAAAATCATCTGAACCGCAAGAGAAAAAAACATGCAATTTGGTTTGGTTCCGTTGACTTTTAGAAAAAAATTGAACCAAACCAAACCAATGTGGTTTGGGTTGGTTCAGTTGGTTTGATTTTTTACAATATTTTTATTGAGTCATACATACACATATAGAGAACGACATAAATTTGTGTTTAGTCATTCATACATTACCAAATAACAACAAAACTGATCATATTTAGACAAAAAATCTCATCCAATATACAAAAAATAGTTCAAATAAAAGTGGAAAAAATTGTAGCAAAAACAATATCAAAAATATTAAAATAAAACAGAAAAAATAGAGGAGAAGGGAGATTAGAGAACTTGAAAAAGAAAGAACATAAGAGATGTAAGATTAGAGAAGAAATGTGCGATAAAAACGCAATTAGAAGAGAAAATAGTAACAAAAAATGAGAAGATGAAAAATAAAGAAAAAGTGAAATGAGAAATTAGTGTAGAAGAGGTAAGACTTACATGATAAAGAAGATCAGAATAATGCGCAATACTATTAGGAGAGTTTTGAGAAGATTGAAACTGAAAAGCTAAGTGTTAGTAAGAGAAAATATTTCCTAATTGTAAGGTTAAGGCATAATGGGTTTGAGTTTTGGGTTGGATGTGGGATAAGAGAAACTTGGGTTGTAACATAATGTTGT